ACCTGCAGGAGCCCTCCACGCCCAGCCCGCTCCCCATGGCCCTCACCTCTGCCCTAACCCACTTCATCTGCCAGGCAGCTTTCCCTCCCGGAAGGAACATCAGTGCCCTCGTGCACAGGTCAACAGCCTGTAGGAAATGCATCTTTCATTCCCTCCAAGACACAGCTGTGAGGGAGCGAGAGCACACAGAGTCTTCTGCCTTGTGGGGCTCACCCTCCCTCTGCGGGGTAGCGCGGGAGAAAGTAAGCGACTCAGAAACGAACCAGGCCACCTCGCTCAGAGGGCGCAGGTGAAGGCCAGGCAGGCGGCTCTCGGGCGCCTCAGTGACCGGAGCCTGGAGGATGAGAAAGAGCCAGCCCCGGACTCACCCTCCCAGGCAGAGGCTTGCAAGTGCTAAGTCCCCGAAGCAGGGGCAGCAGGACCAGAGGTAGCTGGAGCAGGGACTGCAATGGGGAGGCCGGTGATGGGGCTAGAGGGGTACGGGGGCAGGGGCGTGGGAAGGAGCTGGCCATGCAGTGGGGAGTCTGGGGCGTTTTGAGCGGGAAGGAGACTTATCCAGATCCTTCATCTGTTTCTGCATCTGTCTATACCTTTAATCTGTGCTGAGAGCTGGATCATCTCTCTGTCTGTCCGTCTCCATTCCATATCCTCCCATCCAGCTGTAGCCATCCCTGCATCCATCTGCTCTGTGGGGAAAGGGTTGGAGGGGAGCAAGAGCGGAGACCCGGAGGGCAGCTTTGATGCTGTTGTAGTCATTCCCAGGAGAGAGGACCGTGGCCTGACCTTCGGCAATGACGATGAAAGTGGGTGGGTTCGGGAACTCTTGGCTGGAAGAATTGTCAGGATGTCTTCGTTTGGTTCTCCCAGAGGCAGACCCAGAGATAAGGACTTGGCAGACAGCACCCATCTGGGTGATCCCAGAAGACGCAGTAGGAGCAGGGGAGGCAGCCCAAGCAGGGAGGGGCAAGGTCTGTAAAGGACACAGTATGGAGGCGACCGCCCTGAACCCCGCTGGGGGGCTGGGGCCACCGGTGCAGAGCGTGTGTATCTGAGTTACCCCTCCAGACACAATGGCCGCTCTGCTCAGGCCCTGGGGATGCTGGGTCGGGGCCCAGGGTCTGCATTCCCCTAGGGCGGGTGGAGGTCAGCCACCCACCTCGCAGGAGGGGGTCCTCCGGGGCATCCGGGTGTCCAGAGAGGACAGAGGTTGGTGCGCCCATGCTGTTTGTCTGGGTGCAGTTGGACGGGTCCTGCAGAGCTGGAAAGGGAGACAGCTGCAGCTCAGTCCTCCAGGGAGCGTGCTTGGGGTGGGGAGAGCCGGCGAAGCTGCTGGATCCTAACGCTCTGCCTGGGGGGCTCACAGAGAAGCCACCGAAGGCTGCGAGGAAGGGACTGCCAAGGGCCAGTGGGGGGCCCCCAGAGGTTTGCCAGATCCCCGCTTCGCAGGAAGAAAGGAGCCTCCGGTCCCACAGCACCTCTGCCAGGTGTGCCTTTCATCCGGTAGCCGCTGTCTTTCCCACGGGGCCCGTGGAGGCGCTGGGGACTCAGTTCTCACCAGGAAGGGAAAGCTCCCCATCCACAGCCAGAGGAGCTGGCCTCAGTCCCTCCAGTTACCCCTGACGTGGCTGCTCCTGTGGCCTCAGAGAAAGCTATTGACTCAACACATCTTTACAAAAGCTGCTCCTCTGGACTGGGCCCGGGCTGGGTTCTGGATCACAGGGGTGCGCAAGGTGTGTTCCTGGACCGGGGGGCTCCCAGCCATGGCTGTCCTGTGCAGCCAGAGCTAGAGTGGGGTCCGTGCAGGTGCTGTGATGGCAGAGGCCGGGCGCCTGCTCTGGCTGGCGGTGAGGGCGAGGGGCTGGAGAGGGAGGGGTCCTTGGCCAGAGATGAGCCCACTTGGTAGAATCCTACAGCGATTATGATTCCTGGACTAGATGACAAAAATAGCCAATGAGAGGGCAGTCCCACCAGGTCTGCTGGTCCTGCCTCCTCCTGTGTGCGTTCTGAGGACTTTACATTTAGCTGCTTATTTAATCCTAAACATGGCCCATTTTACAGGCGGGGAGAGTGAGGCTCAACACGCAGCAGGGCTGGTATTTGGACCCAGCCCGTCTGGCCCCAGAGCCGGAACCCTGGGCCCCGAGGGTGAGCTGCCACATGCCTGTGGGGGTCCCCCATGCTGGGTGCAGCCGTCTACCAGACTCTGGGCGGGGCCCAGGGACTCAGGGACCAGCCCCACGTGGACTTGGTCCTCGCAGACCTCACGGGCTAGAAAAGCAGCTTGATGAGGCCATCTAGGGAAACAGCACCGTCCCCAGAACGCAGCCTCTTAGCCGCTAGTGGGGTTTTGGCCAAGAAAATATTTTGGAAATGCCTGGTCGAGTTTTGCAATATTTCTGCACCGAACAGCTGCTCGGATTTTGTGGTGGGCTGACTTGCGGGCAGGAGGAACGGGGGAGGAGGAATGTCAGCGAGCCCACGTTATTGAAGGCTTACTGTGTGCAGGTCTCTGCTCAGGCGTTCCCAGCCCTGGGAAGGAGGGATGATGACTCTGCTGTGGGGTTGGAAGGAGTAAGGAGCTGAAAGGCACCCTGACTTGCTGGGATCTCTGGTCCCCTGGAGGATATAGCCCTGCTCGGTTGTCCATTTTCCTCCTTCGAGTCCAAGGCCATTTCTGTTCTGGCCCCCCAAACCCCGCCCGCAGCTCCTCTCCCTCTCCCTTCTCTCATTCTGCTCCAGCCCCCTTGCCTTAGCAAGAAAATGAGATCATCCCCTCACAGGACCTTTGTACTTGCCATTCTCTCTGCCCAGAATGCTCTCCCTATAAACCCTTGCATGGCTGGCGTTGTCTCGCCTTGAAGTCTCAGCCAGAAGACTGCTTCCTTGGAGAAGCTTCCCCTGACTGCAATTTTCTTCCCCCGCTGTTCTCGTTATGACCTTGTTTTCTTTCCTTTGTGGCACCTGTCCCTCTTGAAATTATTTTTTGTATTTATGTACTTGGGTTTTATTTGGTGGCCGCTCCCAATTCGGTTCCAGGAGAACAGGCCCCCTGTCTTGTTCCATTAGAGTCTGTGTTCTGAGAACCTGGAACGGTGTGTTGCCTGTGTCTTGTGTTCAGTTGCTCCAGGTGTCTCCCGCTGTTTCCCACTGGAGCAGCCACTTCTCCGTCAACCAATACACGGATTTTGGGTACAAGTTGCTATTTTTCCTTGGGCCCCTCTGATGCGGACTCTGCCACAATTTCTTTTTCCCGAGGAAAGAGTGTGCTTTTCAAACTTGCCTCTGGGGCTCTGCAATGCCACCAGCTAGCTCGGGAGTGTCACATCAGATGTGACACTCAATGGAGGCGATGCTGCCATCTGGTCCAGGTGTCTGCATCTTCCTTCTGGGGGCAACGGAGGCTTGCAGCTGATCGCAGCTGTCAAGTTCAATGCCTAAGACAAGCTTTTGATTCTGCCAGGTGTGTCTGGAAGGCCGGGCGGGGCCTTGGCAAGAGGGCTATCACTTGCCGGGTGGAGAGGTGGCTTCTGGGAGCTCCATCTAGATGGGTTTCCGCCGCCGCTGCCCTCAAAATAGCAGAGGGAATTTCAAGAAAGACTTTCCTGGGTCCAGAGCAGCTTGGCATTTTTATTAGATCAAA